AAATCAACCCATCATCTCTTTTTGAAGCTCAACGTGTAAAGTGCCGAGCCGAGTTTTATACAGGATGTTTTACAATCATAATCACGGTCCTCATTAGCACGAACAGAATTAACTTACAAATTAGACGAAAAAAGTTTATACACTCCAATTAAGAATTTTGTGTTCCGTTTTCTGATTCCGTCAAAATTATTTGTAAAAGACAAAATAAGTAATTTACTTAACCTCAAATACAGCGCCATCAACTTAATCTATGACATGGTAAATACTTAATAAACCAGCTAAGCTGTTTATGAACTTACGGAAGCGACGCTTCCGTCTACAGTTGAACTACAGGATCAGTATTACTTTAGGTTTCGGGTTCCATAACTAAATAGCTTTTAGGAAATGAAACTATTTTTCCGGATTTAAATCGCGTATATTTGTTTTTTCAAACAAACCGACGTTTCGGGCCCTTTACAGGTCCCATGGTCACGGTTGACTCAGTCAGCCGTTCAGTCGGTTTGTTTGAAAAAACAAATATACGCGATTTAAATCAGGAAAAATAGTTTCATTTTCTATGTGTAACAATCGCGAAAACCTAATAACTCGATAAATAGCTTTTCTTAAATAAACTTTAAAATAACTTTGAAAGTTATTATTCTCTATAGTCAACTGATGTTTCAAGATGCCAATTTGTGTTTTAAAACACTGTATGGCACAACAACTGTTATTACCGGCGTGTCACCTGACTCAAAAATTTGCTCACATAGTGGGTTTTGTCTACCTCTCGAGATTCAAACTTATTGCTGTGTTCTTTTTTGACGCTTTTGTGGCTAATCGGTTGGCGGATCTGGCGTGAACTATGTCACTTGTTATGCAGGACTAGAAAAAGGCTCGATTTCTAAACAGTATCCATATTGCTTCCCTATTTTCATTAATAATTTTTTGCACCAATTTATGTGTTTTTGTGTTTTATTTACAAGTACTGTTGGGTAATTTTTGGAAAAATTTCAAATAGTGGAAATTTTTCCGGAAACATTCTCGAAAAATGGAATCATTTGAAACATTGGAAAAATATAATTTGGACAGCTCATATTATGTTCTACGCCTAGAAATATCTTATAAAGTTTTATTTAGCGTGAATTATAAAATAAACCTGTACCTATAGCTACAAGCCACATAAAGAAAATCTCGTTTTCAAATGATTTACACAACCGAAAAACCTCCAACAACCACACTATCACCACTTGTTATTGGCTCCATTGTTTTCGTTCAGCAACTTCAACTTTTGACAGGTGTCAATGTCAAATGTGAAAATTTAAAGGAAAAATAATGGGAAAAAATCCGGAAAAATATTTTGTTTTTCTGAAAAATAGGATTTTTTCAAAATGGAAAGTCTATGACCCAACACTGTATACATGTAACATCGTTCCAAAGCTGAGAAAAGAGACGGGAGAATGCTACGCCGCCACCGCACATCTCTTTCGCCCTAAAACGCGTAATTGGCATATTTTATATGCGCAGATGATGCACATTTCACAAACGCGCTTTTATGTTGCCACTGAATTTATATACATCAGCCACGCTGCGAAGCTGAATGTTGTATGACACTCGTCATTTACGCGTTAAAAATACAGAGCCCACAATGGCTCACCGTATCAAATAGATATTATTGCTTTTGATTGAAATTATCTGCGCAAAAGTGTAACCCACATTTTTTTTTCTACTATATTACTTTAAGCGATACCACAGATATTATAATACTATACTAGTATAGATACTCAATCTCATATAAAGAAATGTCGCACTCGTAACTTCGCTTATTCACTCGCTTATTTTGATTAATCGATGGTACCAACTTAGAATAATAACGCATAGAAACCTAGTCCGCACACGCTAAGTGAGGCAAACTGAAGCGCTCCCAAAGGGCCTACACGAGCGGGCGGGCTGTCAGTACTCAAGGTCAACTTGCACCGCGAACAGATCAAGAATTTTAGCTAAAAATGACGAAATGTGCGGTAAATGAGTGTAAAAATACGTCAGACAAACATAAAATAGATACTAACATCACATTCCACAAGGAAGTAACGCTTCAACAAAAAGTTCAACTTGTATTTTTATACAAATATTAACTAAAACCGAAAATTAACCTACTACTAAAACTAGCCTACATGAATTTAATTTTTGCCTCACTTGTGACAGTTCGTTTGATATGAAACTATCATTCTATGCCATTGACTTACAATTATATGGACGTCGGGTCCGCGCTAAAAAGTGTCCGCACTTGTAAGGCGCTAAAATCGTATACAGAGCGCGACACTCCGCTTTAGTCTTCATTTGTTCTACTGACAGCGCGATACTGCGATGACATAACAATTTAAATTTCGAATAGGTTGACTTGGGACATTTTTTTCGTGGTTTTTGTATGAGACCCGTCGTCCATTTATTTGTAAGTCAATGTTCTATGCGTTATTATTCTAAGGGTACCAAGTAAACCGCGATGCGCTTGTAATAATATTCGAAATGGCCAACAGATGGCAGCTAAAACGCTTTTGTCAAGGTTATTGCTCTTGTTCAGGCGTTGATTATAATATAATACATATTATGTACAATAAGATGTAACAAAATCATAAAAAAGCTGATTCTGTACCTACTTTTAATATTTTAAAATAAATCCGTGCTAACACATTACTTCGTTCCGAGAACAAAATCAAGGAAATGCCTTCTGTACAATTACTTGCAAAGTAACAACTCAAAAAGTGTATCATTTAGAAATCTTCGATATTGCATGCTTTCAACATTAGTTTACTGTTTTCACTTTCAACTATGAAGTTGTAAATGAATTTTAATTGAACATTCCACTGATCAATTATTGGTAGCCATAGCTACCAGTACCTGTCAATATATTCACTTTCGGTCGTACGTCTCTGGTAACTACAGTTACCAGTACATTACAGTACCCGATTGGTGAACTAATGTTGGTTACATAGTTTTGAATTTCTTTTTTATATTTATAATTTTAATTTAGTATGATATACCTCAAATTGTCGAGACTATACGCTATATTTTTCGCTACTTTAACCAAGTGTCGCCATCTATACTTTTAAATGTGTACTAAAGTTAATTTGTATGGACACCCCATGATGGTTCTAAAACAATTTTTTTTTGTACATGAACATAGCATCCAAATATAAAATAATTACGGTGGTGGCGCCAGTGATCAACAGGCACCACTGCTCGACATCTTTTTTTAAATTAATACATAATAAGATTCAGACATATATACCTATCATAGTAACATGTTTCTTATTGACAAGTATCAATTACTGGGTATTCATTATTTATAGAAGTTCTAGTTTACATTTTTTATTAGTAATTATTACAATAGCTTATATCTTGAGGATAATATCTGTCAAGCAAACTAATCACTATTGCATGTTTAAAAACAAAATAGTTATTTCGAATTTAAGAATATACTTCCATTAAAATATCGACTATTATTAATATTATAAATTCCAAATTCCATTTATTTACCACTAATTAAGCTATTTACGAGGATCGCGAAAGTACACAAGAAAACAAAATAATAATAAATAATAACGGAATAAAAGAACGAACGAAAAGAAATAAAATAAATGTTTAAAACATTAGACCCGTCGTCCATTTATTTGTAAGTCAATGGTTTAAAACAAAAAAAAAACAAAAGCACAACAATTATTCCTAACAGATACAAAATATGTCAAAAATTTACAACATATTTTGATGAGCCTGATACCCTCTTTAGTATTATTTAAAGTGATGTTGAAGGAAAAAAATAAATATCTGTTACACTACTTTTGAGCTGATAGCCTCAATATTTTATGTATAATATTCGCACTCCCCATGGGAGAATGGCATAAGTGGAGTTATGTGAAAAACGTTTATTGCTTCATTAGATACAGAAAAATTATAAGCACATCCTCTCCAATTCTTGTAATCCTATCAACTAATATTATAGATAGAGTTACAAGAATTGGAGAGGATGTGGATTATATTTTTTTGTATATAATGAAGCAATAAATATGTGTGACGGAACTCCACTTATGTCATTCTTCCACGAGAGGTGCGATATTGTAAACAATATCGGCAATATGCTTGTCATACAATTCTTCGATATGTCATAGAGTTATTGTTTTTGTTTTACTCATGTCTTTGGCAATGTTTTGTTTATTAATTCTTGAAATAATGTTTTTAAACTATCTTCAGTATAGTTATAGAATTATCTTAGCAAATGCGATATACAGGAAATAACAAATATGCAGGATCTAATATTTATATTTTTGAGGTTATGTTTACGAAATTTGACACTTACTTTCTACGACAATTACTAATTATCTACGTGTTTACGCAACGTTACACGTACGGTAGTAAACACGTAATTAAGGAAGATGAATAAAATTTCTAGGCAGGTAAATAGTTGTCAGATAGGTAGGTAGTAAGTAGCGATGTATTTGAAAGTAACGTCAAACCAGCTTCTGAATTTGGGACGTGTGGTAGTGACCACACGTGTGGTAGTGACCACACGTGTGGTAGTGACCACACGTCCCAAAAAAAAAGTGTTTAAGAACACTGCCGTGCTTTTTGACTTATGATTTGCGAAATTAAATATAGATGAAGTATAAACGAGGTTAAATACAAACTGTTTGTTACTAGTTTTATAAATTTTAATCAAATACCGAGAGAATTTTCATAAAAATAAAAATGGCTTGGAACTCTCACAAAATAGTTTGACCAACTAATCAGAGTAGACGAAAAAAATAATTTCTATCTATATTTTCGTACAAACTACGTTATTGCAACTGGAAAAGCAAGTTTGGTGCTAGACGATTTCTTCTCATCGTATCCGCTGTGGACAGCAGGCTGGGTAGGGCTCAGTCTCGTTGCCCACTTTGAAAAAGCCAGGTTCCGTTTCGATTGTACATCTAGAATACAAAAAAAAATTAGTAATTGTTCAACCACTGACAGTCCTAAGTTGAAACATTTTTTAGGGTGCATACCATCGAGTATATAACCAGAAAGAGAGACGAAATAACCATCCATCCCTGGCAACTCATCAAGCAAATGGGCCTTATATCACTTTTAAATATCAACCTCATTTGAGCTGAAATCACAAATTAGAAAACTGAAATAGTACAGCGCCAACAACTGACCTGTGTGTACGTCTCCGTATATTCCAAAAATATTCTGCATTTATTGTAATAAAGATAACATTATCTCTAACAATGGGGACTGTACCATTCGGTGGTGTGGGAAAAACAGCAAAATATCTAATTACAAAATAAACGGAATCACATTTCATCGGTAATTAAATGTTAAATATGTGATTTTTCTAATTTTCTTCCATTATAGCACAGCTCAAGTTAACCTGGTGTTATTGAACAATTGACAACACCCGTCAATTGTTTCGAATTCGGGCTGGCCAATCGGAGCGTAGTTGGCATAGTAATAAACTCTCTAAATGAAATCTCTAAGAACAAATTCAAGGCAAAATTAAAGTGGCACTAAAGGAACCAGGAACAAATTAAGTTGGATATAATGGCATCACATCATGAGTCGAGGAACTTTCATAAGTTTTGGAAGGAATCGGGCAAAATGAATCCGAAGACAGGTCGTCCGGTGAGTGTTGATGGCGTAGTGGACTGTAAGGATATCGCAAACCTTTACATGGAGCATTTCAAAGTCGAGCTCCGTGAGCTGCCGGACTGCGGGTGGGTGCGAGAAACTTCCTATTATGGTGCCACATCTATGTCTCAATTCACTGCTGATGATGTGGCATCTATCATTAAGGGAATGGCGCTGGCGCCAATTCGTATAGGAGGCCAAGACTCACTTAGTAAGTATAACTACTTGGGAAGATAAAATAGTAAAATAGAATATTAAAATAAAATAGTAGCAAAATTTTGCCTACGTTTCCAATCTATCGATAAAACTGTCGACAACTATTACACGACTATTTAAAATTTTACGAAAACTGGCAACCCTGCAAATGTCATTTTACTCCATCTTCAAAATAAACACTATAATTATTAATTTTAATATTAAAATGTGATATATTTCAAACATAAATCGTATTATTTCGTACAAAATACGATACTAAAAACTTGATAGACGCTTGTTACCGAAACTGTGCTAAAAACTTGACAATCTAGCGTAAATAGTAAATAAAACCTCAAGGGGCCGATTCCAGCGCAAGTCCACGGGTTGTCATAGAAAAAATCTCAGTAGAGAAATGTCGAAAAAACATGACCCAACGCGGCGATTGTCGATTGGAAACAGTTTTTGGTATTCTCAGAATCTCAAGATAGAACATAAATGTATTCTCCGAGTTCGACATGCAGCGAGTGATTAGACCAGGGGGCCCACCATAACCTTTCCAAAAACAATCTTATTTCAATGTAATCATAAAGTAAGCTTATTGTAATATTACTCATATTCGTACCATGACACACCTATCAACCAAGTAATGTGTATTGCTAAAGTGACTGAAAGAACAAATGATTTCCCAATATTGTCTATTCGTTACTAAAAATGGGAAAGAAATAACGCTATACGAACTGTATAATGCCATCTCTTTCTTTTTTTGATGTTCCGAATCGTGTTATCGTAGTATAATGTTAAAGTACTTAATATTATTTACATTCAGAGAATTTTAACTGCCAAAAAAAGTGTGTAATAACGAAATGTATTAAAATTACGTTGTTTTCAATTATTACTTTTTCATGAAGAAAAGTAAATAAAACAAGCTGAGTCTTGATAGTCACGTTGTGAATTCGGTACCATAGTCTAGTGTTAACTGTTAGTTTCGCCAACGAGCATAATTTATTTATTTATTTATTTATTTATTTAGGTTCATCAACAATTGTTACGTCGATACATTTACATTTTACATTGGTAAGAGTATTTAAACTAGATGCACAACTAATTAAAGATGAAACACAGCTTGCATTAAATTGAGCAGGATAGTCTTAATATTACATTATATCAATACCAGGTGAAAAGAATATACTACATATAAAATTAAAATGAAAATTAAGAAGTTAATGTGTAGTGAAATTTGTTTTAACAATTAGTTTTAAAAATACAGTACATTTACGTGCCTAGGATTGCCTTACGAAGGACGGCCATCGAGTCCGAGAAAATATCGACTTTTGCACTATATTCGTTGTGCAGTCTGGACAGACGACAGACCGGTGAATTGAAACCCAATTTAGTTCTCCTGTGTGGTGGTGACAAAAGAGCAGTGATCTTTTTACGAGGGTATCGATGAGGAACGCTAAATTTAAACATTGTTGTGAGTTGTGGGCAGTCAATCCTGTGGTTGAATATTTTGTGAAGGAAGGCTAGGTCCAATAGATCCCTGCGCTTTTCGAGTGAAATCATTTTAAATTTTTTTAATCTCATTTTATAAGAGCGTAATCCTTTAGAAGCACCGGCCTTGAAAGTCAAATTATTAATGAAGCGTTTCTGTACCCTCTCTAGCCTAAGTGTGTGGGTTGCATAATGATATAATAATAGATGGCGCTGTCTTAATTTTACAAAATAAACATCTCGTATTTTTATTTCATGTGAAATTATTTCCTATGTGCTATTAAACAAACATCACTCACTATTTTAAGATTGCTAAATTTGACATAAGAGCAATATAACTTTAATGTCAAAGTCGCGTCATAGTACGAACTGAGTGAATGAATATTAGAGGATGGAAAAAATAAAGGAAAGGAGCTGCCTTATCTACGGACCAAACGTCCCTACCTAAACCAAAAATGTCCACCACAAATGGCGGATTTACTGTTGTACCATAATCATAGATAAGTCAATATCGACATGCAAATGTATGTCTTGAATGTTGAAACTGTTGTTACTGTGTTTTATGTTTACAAATTTGTGTAGTTAACAAAACAAAGTATGATTAATACTAGGCTAGTAATGAGCCATATTAATCAAAATTAAATATAAAGTTATTTACCAATAAATGTAACGATGGAATTGCATTATCATGTACCTAATCTAGTTACATTCACAGTTCTATTTAAATTTGAATGGAGCGAACAAACGAAGATGGTATTTGATCCAATGTTTATTTTCGGCAGTCCTATAATTTCCAACCATTGTTTCCTTCCTCTTTCATTTGTGGGTAAACTTTAAAAATAATAATAATGAAATAATAAAAACCTCGTGGTGAATTGTTTCAATAACAGAATATCGATAACATGTCTGCTTACAAGAACAACACTATCTCAAAATAATCGTTATCAACAATCATCAAAATATACTAACAAACAGGCAATCTAAAGTAACCAAAGCAAAATTCGGCAAGACTTATTAATAAACTACTTAAATGAGTCTAATTACATGAGATATTTGGGCTATTGTATGATTTATAGGCAGAAAAATAACATGAACATTCGGCTGATTTCCACTTTTTCTATTGCCGCACCCCTTAATGCTGCAGCGACGCATTTTTATCAATACTTAATTGTTCTCACTGTCAATATTTTTATCCATTTCATTACAATTCATGCGAATAATTCACTAAAACATTTGGCCAAACATTGATTTTGACATTTGATGTATTTCCCTTTGACAACCGGATGGATGTCAAAGAGTATTCCAAAAATAGTAAAATGAGGACAGTTGGCATATAAGATGATGTTACGTATTTTCGATTCCCGTGTTTGACATAAATCAATGTAGTGCTATCTCATAATACTTAAACAAAGACAACACAATGTTTATGTTTTCAACGTCTAAATGCATCATATACGTATAACGTCTCATTTATATATGTCCATATAACATATCGTTTGGTTTCCATAGTCTAAGGAACGAATAGTCACAAAGCTGCCAATATAACATCGTGGTTTTAACATTACAAATAAGCTTACTTTAAGGGTGGGTGGTTTTGAGGGTGAGTGCTACCAGCATCTTGGGCACCTCGCCGCGTGTACACAATTTTATTCATGTAATATTATCCTAGTTTTAATTTTTCATATTTAAGCTTCCATTATATTGTTATCATTATCAAATGAAATAACGTATATTTACATCGAATTATTTCAATGTATACAAATTTGATAGCTCTTGATTTCAATATAGAAACATTGTACAATACATTAGACAGTCATTCCAGATTCGTTCGACATTATATTTTTGTGCAATAGAGATTTTGATGACATTAGCTGTAGATATTGGAGATTCTACAATGTCGCAACATATGACAATCGGGTACCTGGAATTCAGTCATATATCACACAGATGTGATCAGTTCGACTTTCAGTTTTCTACGATATTGCTTTTTATGATGATTTTTTATATTAATTTTAAATGTAATTTTTTATATAAATTTTAAATTTGAAATTTATGAATTTTTGAGTCAATGAAAACTATGAATTATGTAACTATACCTCCCGTCCTGTATACCACGGATTTGCCATTATCACAAAATCAAATATTTTGCGTAATTTAAGTTAGAAAAATATCTTAAACTCCTACTATCCTTAGGCCTGGAAGAAATTGCTACTTAGCAATAAGCCCGCCTATTGTACATTATCTTACTCAGTGATACTTACATTATTGTTGTGTTTTGTCATTGTAATTTTTAATGTGCAATAAATAATATTTCATTCATTTCGTTCATTTAGTTCATTTCGCTCATTTCATTCATTCCCACACGCGAAATAGGCGCTTTGTTGTCGAATTGCGGACATCAACCCGTTACACCAAGTACTCAGTAATTAATTCATTCGTTCAGCCATCCATTCATTCAATCATTCGTTCGTTCATTCGTTCATTGTTGAACTAAGTTTAGCAGCCAGCTACGTTAAAAGAAAAATTAATCTTCTATATTACTACTAATCTTACGATGGTATGAGTCGTAATTAACGACAAGTATTATGACATTTACTAGATATTACTAGTAATTACTATTCTAGTAATTAAAAGTAAATTTAATTAATTAACTTTTAGTTACGCATCCAAGAGAAAAAGACCGTAATTGACACCCTAAATAAGTTGGTCTCATAAAAAAGAACTTCAGTAGTAGTAGAGCTCCTTGTAAAGAGTTCGTCCAGGCTAGTGCTGCCATCTTACCTACTTCTGCCGCCAAGTAATAATATCAGCATTACTATATTCCGGTTTTCAAGGGTTAAGGGTGCTGGTGAAATTACAGGCATATGGGACTTGTCAACTTATGTCTCAGGGTGACGGGCGCAGTGGTAGTGCCCCTCAGATCTTTGCAATTTAAAGCTCTGAGTAGCACAGTAACTGTTACGGACACCTGTCCATCACACACCTGTGTATCTTACCATCACGCACACGACTTTTTCATCCCATTAGTTGATGTTATAAGAAAAAAACTTACTTACGTCGACTTTTCTAAATACACTTCGAATTCTTCTGGCACTTCTTTCTTCAGCTCAAGGTCTTTTTTCGTAGTGTCTCTTATTGATCTTTTTAATTCATCCATCTTAATAACTTTACTTACTCGTTCTACTTTCATATTTTTTCTTATAGGTATAGGAAGCAATTTCGATTGAGGAAAAACAATGGCTTTGTCTTCATTCAGTATGCTTTGTGATAGAGGCCAAGAAGGCATTTTAGTTTCTTGCCTTAATATTACCTCTACAGGGTTCTGTTCCATAACATGAACATCCCTATTCAAGTTTGGATTTGTGAGAATTGCCTTAGGTAAGCCGGCTACAAATTTCGGGTCTGGTGGCATTTGAGTTTTTTTACTAAGCGGCGTCTGTGGTCTAATATTGAATAAATGAAAAGGATTCGCAGTAAAATATGTATTTGGTATTGAACTCAAATTGTAATTTATGTAAGCAAATGGATATGGTAACACTGTAGGCGACTTCTTGTTCAAATGCATAAAGGGTGCAAGGAGAGCTTTCGGATTGTCCATGAAAGATATTTTGTTCTTATTCATTGTGGTTTTCTTTGTCAAAATATCTTCTCCAGTAGTGTGTTTAAAGTGTTCCAGTTTGCATGGTAATTTTATGAAACTCTTTTTAGTAACTGGAAATTCAGCAATGTGACCAGTTAGACTTCCGGTATTGGATGGAATTTTAATTGAACTGATTTTCTCTGGTGGTCCTGGTAATTGTTGAAAGTTCTCTTGAGCTGTACCATAATTAAACTGTTTTTGAATACCTGCGATCGGGTAGTAAGGCAGTTTTCTAAAATTGTTGTTCGATAAGGGACCAATGAAATAGGTGTAATTTGGAACAATTGCATCTGATGTTCTTGTAGTACCTTTGTTTGCTGTGCCTTCTTCTTTCAGCGTTTTCATTATAATTGGAGGCACAGGGACTGTATGGGTTTCTTTTTTGGGGTTTGGTGGAAGTACTGGCACTAGTTTCGATGTATCTATTTGAACAACTTTTTGTTTGTTATTAGAATGGCTTAGCGGTTCGTACCAATACGAAATATGGTGATTAGGTTCACTTTTTACAGGCTTTTCAAATTTGGAATCTTTTCTGTTACTTTGTATATTTTGTAAATCATTGACTACACCTTGATCTGTGTTTTTATCAATTTCTTTATAAATATCCTGCGCTAAATTATAAACTTCTATTATAGCTTCTACATCGCTTTTTTTCACATTTTGTAATATTGATGTTAATGCATTTATTTCATCCGCTGTTAAATATCTGTCATCATCTTTTGATGTTGAAACTTTTTGTGGTTCAGTTTGGTTTATTATATTTAATTCTTCTATGTTTTTACGTACCATCATTTCTTTTTTGTTTTCCTTCTGAGCAACTTCTGTACGGCCGTTGTAAAGTACTTTAAACTTTTTATCATGCGTTGTTTTATCTAAGTATTTTTGATTATCTTTATATATTCTGGGTACTGATTCGTTGACTATATTTTTAATTTTATCATCTAATAAAACTTCCAACTTATCTACTTTCTTTTTAAAAAAAGTAATTTTCTCTTTTGCATTTTCTTTTGATAAATCCTGTAATGCAGGATAATTAGTTCTGTCGGGGCTTGTATTATCTCTCGCTTGTGTCTTCTCGTGTAAATCGGTCTGTGTTTTATTATAATTTTGAATCCCTGATAAACCTTTGTCATTAGTCTGATTAGAAGCTTTTAATTGTGATATTGATAACTCATTATTAAGTCGCTTAGATGTGGCATCAATTATCTCGATTTCCCTTAAAAGGGTTCTCTGAGCTGTGTAATTTAGTTTTCTGACTTTGCAAGTGTAGCTGCCACAAAATGTAGTTGATGACCATGTCGTGTTTACTGGGTAAAATTTACCTGTATCTGGATCTCTGCAGTAGAAAGCTGTAACAAAAAATAGACCAAATAAGGAAAAAAGTCATATCTATATATCGTTATTTCACAGTAGCAGTAGAACTTCTTGTGAAAGAGTTTATCTAGGGGTACATCCCTACCACCTCACCTATTTCTGCCGTCAAGCAGCAATGTGAGCATTATGGAGTTTCGTTACATGGGACTCTTCAACTTATGTCTCAGGGTGATGGGAGCTGTGGCCCCTCAGATCCTGGCGATTTAACGCACGGCGCTGCAACTGTGATGATCAGGCGTGTTCATCTTGTTACTGATGATACCAATATCACAAAAAAAGAGCAAGTAACTTATACTTGAAATCGTCAAATTGATTGACTACGACTATTTCCTGAACCAGATACTTCTGAGAATAATGATTAAGAAATTTTATAGCTCAAAGAATCTATTCCATTTTTGCTCTGCATGACATAAAAATGTATAAATGTGCACCCAACGCACCCTACCAAAGGCAAACGTAGTTAAAGTTCTCAAAATCAAGTTCTTAGGTTTTCGCGATTGTTACAACCCAGTGTCAAACCCCAGGTCTTTGCAAAAGAAGTCCGTTATCTACCCAGGATGCTGCAACAGGCCATTGAAATTAAAAAAAAACATATTAATTTCAACAAGGAAGATGGCTTCTCTGTACCACAAGTTAGAGGTCCAATATTTCCCATCAATCCCAAAGAAACATAAGACAGCAGTGCTAATTAATACGTTTTAATTTATTCTAATTTTCATTATAAATTAAAAATAAATTTAACTTTATAAAAATTCATATTGTCAAAATAAAGTAATATGTAAAACATAATGTAACGCAAATTGGAATGTTTCTTTGTAAAATTGGCGGTAGGGTTGTTTGCTATAATATTAGACATACCTGGTTGATGACTGTACCGCCTCAGTCAACCGTGAGTATAGGAAGCCTCATTTACATTATTTTTTACAGGTGTAAAGGGCTCGAAACGTTGATTTATTTGAAAAAACATATATACGCGGTTTAAATCCGGAAAAATAGTTTCATTCCCTATTAGTTCTCAAAATTTGTAATTTTTTGACATTACCTACATAGGTTTTAGGCGTAACTGTTGCTCAGCATTGCGTTTTATTTTCACACAAGATGATTAGGCAATTCGTTGGTTTGTTTAACCATTTTGTGTACAAACAATATCATTAAGAATTCATAACCGCGTGAACAATGACATTATCAATTTATAAACAATAGAAGAAACAGGATTATACAGAATACGTTACGAATTGAATATTTAGCCACAAAGTCACTTACGAGTTGGAAAGCAAGGGTAACTCAGTACGGTTAAAGTCTAAGATTCTAATGCTTTTAAGGACTACACCTACACGTTCTCCAGGGGTTGTGTACCATATCGAGTTCTTTAATTTTCGTGATCTTTTGTTTTTCTTATTATTTATATTAAGCTTTCAAAAGAAGTCCGTTATCTACCCAGGATGCCGCGAGGCCATTGAAATTAAAAAACATCCTAATGTCACATGAAAGAAGGTTTCTCCGTACTACCACTACCAGTTTGGGATCCAGTACTTCCTTTGATGGAAATTCCCAAACATGCATAAGACTGCTTTGCTTATTAATTTGTTTTAATTTATTCTGTTTTTCATTACTATTATTTATAACATAGGTTCCGGAATTTTTGCCTCACCGCCCACTTGGGCAAGATAAAAAAAATTCAATGCCACCACAGAAAATAATTGAACACGTATTTTTTTAACTTAACACAAAAATCATAAGGAAAAAATTCTATATATGTAGTGTGTAGCGCTGGTTAGCGGAGGGGGTAAGTAGAACGACGAATTAGACGCAGATTATTTAGTATAAAGGCGTATATTATCAAACAGTGTAAATTTACAGGGTTATGGACCCAACAGTATGTCTCACTAACGTTAAAGCACACAGTTCTGGGTGCCTACCACAACCTCTTAAAACAATATTACTTTAACCTTACATTGACCTTTCGTACCATGACGCGCTTAAAGTAAGCTTATTGTAATGTTAAAACTATGATGTTTTATTGGCAGCTTTGTGACTATTCATGCACTCAGTTCGTACTATGACGCGACTTTAACATTAAAGTAGTATTGCTCTTATGTCAAATTTAGCAATCTTAAATATAGTTACACGGATGCAATGAAAACAATATTATTTTCAGTTTTATTGTCCTAATATTGACTTATAATGGTTAAAAGTTAAGTTGGACTTATTTATTTAGATATATCTCTTCAATATTTTGTTTATTTTTTATTTAAGAGCACATTGTAAATAATTTCTCGTTAAATAAAAATACGCGATGTTTATTTCGTAAAATTAAGACAGCGCCATCTATATGCTCCTTGTCGAAACTAACAGTTGACACTAGACTTTAGTTCCGAATTCACAACGTGACTATCAAGACTCGGTTTGTTTTATTTATTTTTCTTCGTGAAAATGAGGAATAATTATTGAAAACAACGCAATTTTAATGCATTTTATTATTACACATTTTTCTTTTCTTAAAAAAGTCAAAATTCTCTGAATGTAAATAACATAAAGTACTTAAACATTATACTACGATAAGACGATTCGGAACATCAAAAAAGAAAGAGATGGCATTATATAGTTCACATAGCGTTATCTCTCGCCTATTTTTAGTAAGGAATTGACAATATTGGGAAATCATTCGTTATTTCAATCACTTTTGCAATAATACATTACCTGGTTGACAGTTTCGCCATGGTACGAATATGATTAATATTATAATAAGCTTACATTGAAATAAGATTGTTTTTGGAAAAGTTAAGCCGTAATAATGTTATAGCGGTAGAAGGCATTAACAATTCAAAACATGAGATGACTTAATAAACTATTGGAGTTAACAAAACGACAACGCGTTTCAGAGTACAACTAATGCCATCTAGCGGTGACGCGACGGAAGTAATGGCGTGTTAGAGTCGTTAGAAGTGTATTTTATACAGATAATTCAGTTTTTTCTTTTCATGTGATTTCTTAAATGTGGTAAGACCCCCCTGGGGGCCAATCGCGCTAATTGTCAACGGTAAAACCGGTAAACTACAAACGAAACGTCGCTAATATGCCACGTTGCGCATATTTGCTATCGCGGTAATTGTCAGTGGTAAAAACAAAACTAAAACGTTGTCAATTGCTATCGTGCTAAATATTTTAACGTTTCAACCACTAAAGAAACGTTGGGGAACGTATTTACCTTTGACAGGCTGACATTTCCGTTGTAGTTAATGGAGAGTAACTTTTCACTACCTACATTTATCGTTTATTAAAGATATGGCACGGGTATTCACATGTTTTGGCAGGGCTTGTGAGATGGATGTGGCCCAAGAACAGGCCTTAAATAAAAGAAAAGCATAAAAAGACGATCACATTTAACATGTACATTAAACTGCCTCCGTGGCCGAACGGTTACCATGCCTGACTGCCAAGCAGAGGTCCCAGGTTCGATTCCCGGGCCGGGAGAAATATTGTTATGGCCTACAGTTATTTCTCTCGTGAGTTTGGGTGTAATTTGTGATTGTCTATGTGTGTGTCAATGGCACCCGCGACACAGGGTTTCCCTAGTGCGGGGCTATGTTGAGTGTGTGCGTTATTATTGTTATTATTATTATTATGTACGAGGAGAATTAATTCCGCAAACGATATATCGTTTGTCCACGGAATTATTCTCGTGATTGGTGGAAGAACTATGCTTACATGTTCCCGTTAAAGGACGGTCTGATAGATTGGATGTGGAGACAAAGGTAAGGGTTAAGTGTTTTGCTCTGTTTTGCAAAATAACAAAATTTTTATACTGTGTAAATAATTATTAATTTAATTATAGATTTTAATAGCTCTATTGTTTTTAACTACAAGATCGTACCAGACCCCTCATTGGCAACAGTGCTCATCGCCCACTTTCTCAAGCCAGTATCAGTAAGGCACAAGTGGTAGCTGCTTTAAATAAACCAGTTATTATGAATAAATATGCAGCCTTCCTAAAAGGCGTGCCGAAAGGGATGGTATTAAAAGGCGGTGAGATCTTTGTTAGTTCTTGTCTTATTTCCCCATGTTATTATGAAATAAAAATCACGCATATAAAATATTTATAGTTGTATAAAAATACATTGAAACGTTACTACCTATTTATTTCTTTTAACACTTGGCTTTATACAATATATCCATCCCCTTAGAGTGAAAATCTCGCATATGCGTTTTCAGATAGTTTGTTTTTACTGAGTTTTGTTGAAGAAAAAAATATTCATGTAATATAGTATCTAAAAGAGGTATAATTTAAGTAATTAAAATGCTAACTACAAACATTATTGCGTTTACTGTATTTTACACCACATTTTTATCTCCATCCTGAATAATTACATAGAAATCACATACGAAGTATTAACTTTAAGATGACGATATAAACCTTTTGTAATCGTTTATTACCTTAAAATCTAAATTTATGTATACTTTTAAGAGGTTGAAATAAAAAAGAGCGTATTTTTAGTTTATGTATTGCCTCTATCTACCCCAAATCAGCCTTCATTTCCAGAGCGATCTTGCTTTTTATTCTTCAAAGAAGTCTGAAACAAAAATATGTGTATAGTAAGATCGGAGAATTAAATTTAAGACTGAGCCCATTGACTTACAATTATATGGACGTCGGGTCCGCGCTAAAAAGTGTCGGCACTTGTAAGGCGCTAAAATCGTATACAGAGCGCGACACTCCGCTTTAGTCTTCATTTGTTCTACTGACAGCGCGATACTGCGATGACATTACAATTTAAATTTCGAATAGGTTGACTTGGGACATTTTTTTCGTGGTTTTTGTATTAGACCCGTCGTCCATTTATTTGTAAGTCAATGACTGAGCCACCCAATGACGAAGAATGCTGAAGCTATACTCCTATGTGAATCTTGCTTTCTGATAAAGTACAATACCTCTCATGGGAGTAGTGACAGATAAAGCAAGATGGGTTTTGGGATT